TTAGCAGTGTACACTTTGTGCGACCACGACGCTTGGCGTGTGTCAAAGCCTTAAAGGCAACATGTGTCTGTTTAGGATGCACTGGTAGCCCCTTGGCTAGTTTGTGAATTTGGTGATTTCCTTTAATACTTGTAACTCTGTGTGCCATGGGCAGTTATTTTCAAGGACAGATGAGGAATCTCAGGGTAAAAAAGACTGTGTAATTTGCCCAAAGTCAGACCATAATTTTGTGTGCAGGGGCCTCGGTTCAGCATGGGCTCCTGGGCCTTCTGCTCTCTCCGTTCAGCACCAGAGCCAGATGTGGGCTCGGCTGTTTCCCAGCCCATAATATCCGGCAGGCCGCAAGACACACCTGGCCCTGTGCTGCTTGAGCAAAATCTCCGGAGGGGAGGCAGTTACAAAAGGGATAATCATAAAAAGACGACAGCAAACTGTGATCAGCTCTGAGAAGGAAAGGAACACGTCTGGCTGTGCAGAGCTGGGAGCTTTCCCGTCGGGGCTGCTCTGGGGGCGCTCATCTCAGCTAAACAAGCTCTGCTGCTGCACCAAGGCAGGAAGGCAGGGCGCGTGTGGCCAGGTAGGCAGGGCCTCGTTGATCGTACTCATTCCCTATTAAGTGGCAGGTGTCACAGGCACTTAACTAATAAACAGATGTTGGCCATAATCATCACGCATTTTGCTTGGTAGTTTTATTGGCGCCAACTTTGAGAGGAGGTCATTGAATCTGGGGAGTTAGCTGCATGCCCGTGATTACCATGGATATACCCCCACTGGTCTTTCAACCTAGACTGGTGTGGCTGTCATGTCCCAGCCCTGTGAATGGCATCGTGTATCTTCTCCCAAGTGGCCCAAATGACTGACATTGATATGCTTAATTCGTAGGAAATGGTATGTGGCAATAAGGGAAAAAGTTAGTAAGAAATTGGAAAACTAGAAAATAACCAATTCTTCCCCTGCTGGGGGACCGTACCCTGTGTCACTCACCCCACTCACTGCCTGTCACCTCCTCCCTGAGGACTCCGTGTTCAGAAGGCACTCTGAGCCTTTGAAGAACATTTTGCCTCATGACACTATTGACTAGGACCTGCGACCTCTCTGTCCCTGGTTAACTCTCTCTTCAAAGCCATTTAAATTTCTTGCAGGCTCCTCCG